TCCAATCTCTTTCACCACAAAAAATTCTTAGTCCCTTAAAATCAGCTTTTCGAATATCTGTCATTTTAGCAGAATTTTCTCCAACAAATCTATTGCATTCTAAGCTAAATCTGATTTCTTTATGATAACTGTTCTCTAGCTCACTCCCTATTTCGATGTCATTAATTTGTGTCTCCCCGTTAGTTAACATTAAGTCTTAAATAATTTTTTCCCGCGTTGGTTCTTAAATGTGTTGCTTAGGAAAATAATCATCAATTAATTCTAGAAAATTTTCTGCTTCATTAATCCCTGTTCAGTTAAGCCAGTTTATTTAACTAAAATTAAAGTCACCCATGACATAAATACTGTTAGGTCTAGATGCTCTAGATATTTTATCCCATAGATGCTGTGCTTCCATCCTGTCTAAGTTTGGTGTCCTGTATATAACCCCTATTATAAGATTTTTAACTTTTTCGTTTAATTCCAACCAAATAGTTTCTGTGTGTGGCTCGGTCTTGATTCCCTCTTTGAGACTACATTTCAAAATTTCCCTAACATATATGGCTACTCCCCCTCCTTGTCTAACATATCTGAGTGAAACAATTTAAATCCGTTTATTTTATATCAGCTAATAGTTCTCTGTTTTGTTCATTCATCCATGTTCCGGTAAGTGCAATGATAGCTATTGTTTTTGTGTAGACAAGAGCATTTAAATCGCTTATTTTGTTTCTTAGACTCCTAGTCTTCGTGTAATACTTTAATGTATTGATATTTTGAGTTCCTTCTCTTACTCTGTTCATTTTGCCATTTTCTTCCCAACAACATTTACTTTTATTTCCTCCTTTCTCCATATCAATTCCCATACCACTATCTATTAACAGTTTAAACCAAAACAGACCCCTCCATCTACAAATTCCAATGAGTTGGCAACAGCAACAATGCCAGCCCATTTAAATACACCCCATCTCGAGCATACATGTCATTCCATCCACAGAAGTGTTCACAGTTATTAATGAATGATATTGTATTTGATTCACAATATTTGTCCAGTCGGCAATTGACACCAAGTGCCCTCGACAACCATTCATTTCCAACTTCCTTTCTTTTGAGAATGCCACATATGATCGGGATTTCTTCTTTGCTCCTAACTAATTCTATGGCTGTCTTAAACCTCTATATTAGTTCCTCACTCCTAACTCGTCCAACATCATTTCCACCTACACTAATACAAATAATGAGTTTGTTCCCACTTCCAGCCATAATACCATTCAAGTTGTTTACAAAATCACCAATTCCAGCTCCCGGATAGCAAACCCTTAACCTGTTCCCCCCTACCTCTGGCACAAAATGCTCTATCCAAATACCTCACCTGGGAATCTCTCCCAACCAAAATTTGCTTAGGTACTGCCTTTACCTGTGTTCCCTTTGTTGCCCTGGAGGCAGAGAGGGAGATTAGCACGACGGCCAAAGGTATGAAGTTGGGACAGAATATGATACTGCCAGGTAGTGTCGTAAGCCTTTTCTAGGTCAAAAAGGACGGCAACAACGGAGGTCTTCGCAGCAAAATCAGTACGAATATAGACCTCGAAGTTCACCAGGACATCTGTTTTGCTGCGGCACTTGCGAAAACCAAATTGAGAAGGGGAGAGGTGGTGAGAGTGTTCTAAGAACCACATCAGACGAACATTAGAGTCTTCTTAAGACCTCTGTCGTTTGCGACATTCCAAAACGACGACTGTCTTATGCTACTCTCCTCCTTTGCTTCCTCTTGACGTAGTTTCATCTGTCGTAGCTCCTCCCGCAGGGATTCCAACTCTGTCTGCAGTGCTCCACATAGCTCCCTCACTAGCACCAGTTCACTCACTACACTTCACTCATTTTTTATTATCAAGACAATTGGAGCTGCAGCTAACACACCCTCTCACTATGCCTTCATGAATATTGCCCTGTTTGATGGGCTCCAAGTGAAGACTGACGATGTGGTGGGTGTACAGCTGCTGAGATATGGCTTGGTGCACAAGGAAATCCCATTAACTTGATGTATCAATGAGAAAGTCAGTAGAAGCCCTGTGGAGTCTTCGAACCGGCACACTTAGTTGTCGGAAGCCCACGTCCTAGATATAGCCCTTCCTCATAAACAAAGGCCAAAGTCCATTCCACAACCCCGCCCCCCCCCCTTGTTTGTGCAGGAAAAACGGTCTACATACGACTCACAACTGATGACATCCGAACACTTCCAGTACAAGTGCTTTGCTGACGACTTTTGTTCGATCCACAACGCTGTAAATGCTTCACCCACGTACTACAAATACAAATAATCGCCAACAGAACCTAAACATCTAACCTAACCTAGCCAGTGACTAAATATGCACAATATGTTTATATAATACTATTATTTCATATTTGAGAAAATTCTTGTTTTGAATGAACAGCATGTTAAAACTGTTGAATGCTGTTTGTTCCCCATACTATGGCGGAAATGAAGCTTTTGCCTAAACCTGGTGATCTACGGTTTTTCCCGTGCTGGAGGCCGATTACCCTGTGAATGTTGATCACAAAATGATAAATTATCTCTAACACCCAACCAACACATTTTAAAATGAATATCCGACGACGTTTCAGTTCGTCCTGGACCATTATCAATATCGTGTAAAAATTATACTGACCAAAACGTCGTAGGTTTCTCATTACAGATGTGTTGGTTCGGTGTTAATTCTTCAGTCACGTTATTGTGACTCATTGTTTGAAAATGATTTCCTTGTCATTGGGTCTCTGACTGTAGTCTATATTGGGTCACCTTGCGATGATTTCGGGGCTTAGCGTCCCCGCGGCCCGTCCTCGACCAGGCTTCCTAGAAAGGTCTGACGAGTTCTCGTAATCAATATATTGAAGTGTGGCCCGCAGGTCCATAATTCAGTGCAATAATGCGCTTCGAAAGGTATTGGGATGTGCTTCTGGGCAGAATGTGCCACTTTCCTTGATAATGCGGATTGGTCAAAGGCTCGATCGAGGGAACGTGGAGTTTATGTTGGAGGTTCTGGCTCAGGTGGGGTTGGCACCCCATTTTATTGATTAAGTCCAGACGTTGTATGTTCGTTGTCAGAGCGTTGTGTGTGTGTGAATGTTCGTTGCCATAGTGTTACCTGGCAACAACTGGCACCTAACACCAAGAGGCACCTGGCAGTAAGTTGCCCCTGGTAACATGTGGCACCTGGCAGTAAGTGGCACCTGGCAGCAGGTGGCACCTGGCAGTAAGTGGCACCTGGCAGCAAGTGGTACCTGGCAGCAAGTGGCACCTATCAACAAGTGGCACCTGGCAACAATTGGGACCTGGCAACAAGTGGCACCTGGCATCAAGTGGCACCTAGCAACAAATGGCACTTGGCAACAAGTTGCACCTGGTAACATGTGGCACCTGGCAGTAAGTGGCACCTGGCAGTAAGTGGCACCTGGAAGCAAGTGGCACCTGACAGCAAGTGACACTTGGCAACAAGTGGCACCTAGCAATAAGAGTCACCTGGCAGAAAGTGACATCTGGCAGCAAGTGGAACCAGCCAGCAAGTGGCACCTGGCGGCAAGTGGCACTTGGCAGCAAGTGGCACCTGGCAGCAAGTGACACCTGGCAACAAGTGACAAATGGCACCAAGCGACACCTGGCAGCAGGTGGTGCCTGGCTGCAAACGGCACCTGGACCACAAGTGGCCCACTGGCAGCAAGTGGCACCTTGCAGCAAGTAGCACTTGGCAATAAGTGGTTACAGTTAAATAAGAAAAAATGGTAGAAAATCTGCTCAAATATGATGAAAACAGAAGAAGACTAACAAAGAAACTGATGAAAATGGCATCATCCGACATAAATACGATGAAAACGGCACAAAACCCGATAAAATATTACGAAATTGCAGAAAACCCAAATATGATAAAAATAGCACAAAACCTGATCCAATATTATGAACACTGCTCAAAATCCACACAAAAACAATAAAAATGGCTCATTACCCGCTGAAATATAGAGCAAATGATACAAAACACGCTCAAATATTATGAAATTGAAAAAAACACAAATATAATTAAGAAATTGCAAAAATACATAAATATAATGAAAATACCACAAAGCCCCCTTGAATATGATGAAAATGGTTCAAAATCCATTCATACATGATGAAAATACGATATAATTAGGAAAATATGATGAAGATGGCACAAAATCCCTTCAAATATCATGTAAACAGCAAATAAAACTCGCACAGATGAAAATGACACAAAATCTGCTGAACTATTATGAAAATAGCAGAAACTTGCAACAAATTATTAAAATAGCCAAAACCTGCTTCAGTATTATGAAAATGACACAAAATCCGCTAAAATATGAAGAAATATAACAAAACTAGCACAAATACTATGAAAATTGAAAAATATCCACACAAGTTTTACAAAAACAACAAAAAACTGGGACAAATATCATGAAATGGCACTAAAAAAAACATAAATGTGACAAAAATAGCACAAAACTCACTCAAACAAGACAATATGGCATGAAATCCACAATAAAATTATGAAAATAGCACCAAATCCGCTCCAGTATAAAGGGCTTGGCAAAAAATCCAAAGAATTACGAAGAAAATAATACAAAGTCTGCTCCAATTTGAGCAAATTTTTATAAAATCTGCCCAAATATGATGAAAATAGCAGAAAACTCATGAAAATAGTAACAATCTACAAAAAATTTACAGAAAATGGCAAAAACACGCTCAAATATGAAGATACAGCAGAAAATCTTCAGAAGTTAGGGCAAAACCGCTCCAATATTATGAAGATGGCTAGAAATATCTGAAACATGATGAAAATGGCAGAAAACCAGAATTTTTTTTGATTAACATGACAAAAAATCCAAACAAATGAAAAAAAATGGTACAAAACCCGCTTAAATATGACAAATAGTATAAAATTCGTTGAAATATAATGAAAATAATAGAGACTATAACAAAAACTGATGAAATGGTAACATTCCACACAAATACGATGAAAATGGCACAAAAACTGGTAAATATTACAAAATTGCAGAAACTAGCAAAAGCTGATGAAAATGGATCAAAGTAAGTACGTAAGTACAAAGAAACTTTGTACATAAGTACAAAGAAAATGGCACAAAGTCCGTTCAAATATGATGGAAATGGCAAAAAATTCCTTTAAGTACGAGGATATTGGCAGAAAATCGGCTCAAATATTTAGAAGATGGCACATATTGCGCTCAAACATGATGAAAATAACACAAAACTAAAAGAATATTTTGAAAATGGAAACAATTCAAGAAAATACGATGAAAATGGCACAAAACCAGTGTAAATATGATGAAATGGTACAAAATTAACATAAACAAGACAAAAATTGCACAAAACTCGCTACAATAGGATGAGAATGGTTTAAAATCCGCTGAAACATAATGAAAATAGCTTAACATCCACTCAAACATAATGTAAATAACAGAAAGCAATAAAAAAAATGAAAATTGAACAAAATTCATACATATTCGATGAAAATTGCAGAAAAACCGTTTAGATATGAAAAATTGCACAAAATCCGCTTAAATATGACCAAAAATAGCAAAAAACTGAAGAAAATAGTAATAATCCACAAAAATACAATGAAAATGGTAGAAAATCCTCTGAAATATGAAGAAATATCAGAAATATCATAAAAAATAAAAAATAAACTTGTTCTAATATGATATATACGCCGTGAAATTGGCTAACAAATTATGAAAACAGCAGAAAATAAGGAAAAATACAATATATATAGCACAATATCCATACAAATGCAATAAAATGGCAGAAAACCCTCTCAAATATGTAAAAATTAAAACAAAACCCCGCTCAAATATGATAAAATTTTCTGCAACAAATATGTTGCAGAAAACTTGCCCAAAAAAATTTTATTAAATGTCAACAATCCACAGAAATACGATGTAAATGGCAGAAAACACTCAAAATTTTATCGAAATTGCAGAAAATCGAGAGAAATATCATGAAATATGCACAAAACTGGCTCCAATGTAATGAAAGTTCTCTAAATTGGCTCAAACTTGTTGAAATAGAATAACTAGCAAACATATGATAAAAATGCCAAAAAATCGTTACAAATACGAAGAAACTGGCACAAAACCCACCTAAATGTGACAAAATTAGTACAAAATCCCTCCTCATATGATGTCAATAGAAGAAAACCAGAAAAACTCATGGAAATTGTAAAAATCCAAACAAATACGTTGACAATAGTAAAAAAATAGCTCAAAATCTGCTCAAACATAATGAAAGCTAGCCAAAATATATGATAAAAACTAGCACAATATACAAAAAAATAATATTGGCAGAAACCAGGATCAATTATGAAAAAATTGTAGCAAATCCGGCAAAATAAAAAATTGGTTCAAAATTCGGGTAAATATGATGAAAATAGCAGAACCGTAGCAAAAGAATTATGAAACTGTCGAAAACCAATACAAATGCGATGAAAATTATATAAAAAACGCTCAAATATGAAGGAATGACAGAAAATAAAGAGAAAAATGATGAAAACAAAACAAAATACGTTCCAATATGATGAAAGTGTCTCAAAATCCGCTCATATATGAGGAAAATAGTAAAAAACTAGCAAAAATATAATGAAAGTAGCACAAAGTCCATAAAAATACGACGAAAATGGCACATAACCAACTCAATTATGAGACCAAGTGAGACCAGGCAGCAAGTGAGACCAGGCATCAAGTGAGATCAGGTAGCAAGTGAGACCAGGCAGCAAGTGAGACCAGGCAGCAAGTGAGACCAGGCATCAAGTGAGATCAGGTAGCAAGTGAGACCAGGCAGCAAGTGAGGCCAGGCAGCAAGTGAGACCAGGCATCAAGTGAGACCAGACAGCAAGTGAGATCAGGCAGCAAATGAGACCAGACAGCAAGTGAGACCAGGCAGCAAATGAGACCAGGCATCAAGTGAGACCAGGCAGCAAGTGAGACCAGGCAGCAAGTGAGAGCAACCAGCAAGTGAGATCAGGCAGCAAGTGAGAGCAACCAGCAAGTGAGATCAGGCAGCAAGTGAGACCAACCAGCAAATGAGACCAGGCAGCAAGTGAGATCAGGCAGCAGTGATACCAACCAGCAAGTGAGATCAGGCAGCAAGTGAGACCAGGCATCAAGTGAGACCAGGCAACAAGTGAGACCAACCAGCAAATGAGACCAGGCAGCAAGTGAGACCAACCAGCAAGTGAGACCAACCAGCAAGTGAGACCAACCAGCAAGTGAGACCAACCAGCAAGTGAGACCAACCAGCAAGTGAGACCAGGCAGCAAGTGAGACCAACCAGCAAGTGAGACCAACCAGCAAGTGAGACCAACCAGCAAGTGAGACCAACCAGCAAGTGAGACCAACCAGCAAGTGAGACCAGGCAGCAAGTGAGACCAGGCAACAAGTGAGACCAGGCAGCAAGTGAGACCAGGCAACAAGTGAGACCAGGCAGCAAGTGAGACCAACCAGCAAATGAGACCAGGCAGCAAGTGAGACCAACCAGCAAGTGAGACCAACCAGCAAGTGAGACCAGGCAGCAAGTGAGACCAGGCAACAAGTGAGACCAGGCAGCAAGTGAGACCAGGCAACAAGTGAGACCAGGCAGCAAGTGAGACCAACCAGCAAATGAGACCAGGCAGCAAGTGAGACCAACCAGCAAGTGAGACCAGGCAGCAAGTGAGACCAAATAGCAAGTGAGACCAGGCAGCAAGTGAGACCAGGCAACAAGTGAGACCAGGCAGCAAGTGAGACCAACCAGCAAGTGAGACCAAACAGCAAGTGAGACCAGGCAGCAAGTGAGACCAACCAGCAAGTGAGACCAGGCAACAAGTGAGACCAGGCAGCAAGTGAGACCAGGCAGCAAGTGAGACCAACCAGCAAGTGAGACCAACCAGCAAGTGAGACCAACCAGCAAGTGAGACCAACCAGCAAGTGAGACCAGGCAACAAGTGAGACCAGGCAGCAAGTTAGACCAACCAGCAAATGAGACCAACCAGCAAGTGAGACCAGGCAACAAGCGAGACCAGGCAGCAAGGAAGACCAGGCATCAGGTGCCTGGTAACAGGTGTGAGTAACAGGTGCAGAAGTCACGTGTAGGCACCAGGTGCAGTGCCCAAGTCTGTGGGCCACGTGCGGGTGTCAGGTGTGGAAGCAATTGTTGAGGGGGGGGGGTTCACGAGAGGGTGCCAGATGTGGAAGCAGTTGTGGGGAGCCAGGTATACAGGCCAGGTGTGGCGGCTGAGAGGCCATTAGAGGCTCCCAGGGGGACACATTCCTCACCCTGATACACAGCCTGTCTTGTCCAATAGATTGTTCTGCTCGCTCTCGCTCGAAATGCTCCATCAGCCTTCCTTAATAGTGCTGTTTTGAACCTCTTCCAGATTTAGAATAGCATTTATCTCAGCGCAAGAACGCTGCGCTATGTCCCACTATTTTTTTCTGTCATAAATTGTGTGTGTGTGTGTGTGTGTGTGTGTGTGTGTGTGTGTGTGTGTGTGTGTGTGTGTGTGTGTGTGTGTGTGTGTGTGTGTGTGTGTGTACTCACCTAATTGTACTCACCTAATTGTGCTTGCGGGGGTTGAGCTTTGGCTCTTTGGTCCCGCCTCTCAACTGTCAATCAACTAGTGTACAGATTTCTGAGCCTACTGGGCTCTATCATATCTACATTTGAAACTGTGTATGGAGTCAGCCTCCACCACATCACTTCCTAATGCATTACATTTGTCAACCACTCTGACACTAAAAAAGTTCTTCCTAATATCTCTGTGGCTCATTTGGGCACTCAGTTTCCACCTGTGTCCCCTTGTGCGTGTGCCCCTAGTGTTAAATAGCCTGTCTTTATCTACCCTATCAATTTCCTTCTGAATCTTGAATGTGGTGATCATGTCCCCCCTAACTCTTCTGTCCTCCAGCGTAGTGAGGTTTAATTCCCGTAGTCTCTCCTCGTAGCTCATACCTCTCAGCTCGGGTACTAGTCTGGTGGCAAACCTTTAAGCCTTTTCCAGTTTAGTCTTATGCTTGACTAGATATGGACTACATGCTGGGGCTGCATACTCCAGGATTGGCCTGACATATGTGGTATACAAAGCTCTGAATGATTCTTTACACAAGTTTCTGAGTGCCGTTCGTATGTTGGCCAGCCTGGCATATGCCGCAGATATTATCCTCTTGATATATGCTGCAGGAGACAGATCTGGCGTGATATCAACCTCCAAGTCTTTTTCTTTCTCTGACTCCTGAAGAATTTCCTCTCCCAGATGATACCTTGTATCTGGCCTTCTGCTCCCTACACCTATCTTCATTACATTACATTTGGTTGGATTAAACTCTAACAACCATTTGTTCGACCATTCCTTCAGCTTGTCTAGGTCTTCTTGAAGCCTCAAACAGTCCTCTTCTGTGTGTGTGTGTGTGTGTGTGTGTGTGTGTGTGTGTGTGTGTGTGTGTGTGTGTGTGTGTGTGTGTGTGTGTGTGTGTGTGTGTGTGTGTGTGTGTGTGTGTGTGTGTATACTCACCTAATTGTGCGTGCGGGGGTTGAGCTCTGGCTCTTTGGTCCTGCCTCTCAACCGTCAATCAACAGGTGTACAGGTTCCTGAGCCTATTGGGCTCTATCATATCTACACTTGAAACTGTGTATGGAGTCAGCCTCCACCACATCACTTCCTAATGCATTCCATTTGTCAACCACTCTGACACTAATAAAGTTCTTTCTAATATCTCTGTGGCCCATTTGGGCACTCAGTTTCCACCTGTGTCCCCAAGTGCGTGTGCCCCTTGTGTTAAATAACCTGTCTTTATCGACCCTGTCGATTCCCTTGAGAATCTTGAATGTGGTGATCATGTCCCCTCAACTCTTCTGTCTTCCAACGAAGTGAGGTTTAATTCCCGTAGTCTCTCCTCGTAGCTCATACCTCTCAGCTCGGGTACTAGTCTGATGGCAAACCTTTGAATCTTTTCCAGTTTAGTTTTATGCTTGACTAGATATGGACTCCATGCTGGAGCCGCATACTCCAGGATTGGTCTGACATATGTGGTATATAATGTTCTGAAAGATTCCTTACACAAGTTTCTAAAGGCCGTTCTTATGTTAGCCAACCTGGCATATGGCGCTGATGTTATCCTCTTGATATGAACTTCAGGGGACAGGTCTGGCGTGATATAAACCCCGCAGGTCATTCTCTCTCTATGACTCCTAAAGTATTTCATCTCCCAAATGATACCTTGTATCTGGTCTCCTGCTTCCTACCCCTATCTTCATTACATTACATTTGCTTGGGTTAAACTCTAACAACCATTTGTTCGACCATTCCTGCAACTTGTCCAGGTCTTCTTGAAGCCTCAAGCTGTCCTCCTATGTCTTAATGCTTCTCATAATTTTGGCGTCGTCAGCAAACATTGAGAGGAATGAGTCTATACCCTCTGGGAGATCATTTACGTATATCAGAAACAGGATGTGTGTGTGTGTGTGTGTGTGTGTGTGTGTGTGTGTGTGTGTGTGTGTGTGTGTGTGTGTGTGTGTGTGTGTGTGTGTGTGTGTGTGTGTGTGTGTGTGTGTGTGTGTGTGTGTGTGTGTGGAGACCTATCCTGCGTGATGTGTGCTACCTGTTAATTCGCTGGTGGTGCTGCACTACTGCTGTTTGCAGAGTTGAGCTCTGAGAACACTTCCTGAGAGGAATATTAACTTGGCGCCCGAGTCAGCTTATATATGCGTCTTGAACATATATAAGCTTATATATGCGCATATATATAAGTCATGAACTTATATATGCGTCATAAGGTGTTAATGTGGGTCTAATATTCACTCACTACAAGTGACAGTGAGAGAGGCCTCAGGCGCTCTAACAACCCCCTCCCAACTTTTGACAACAAGAGGACCCTTGACTTAAAAAAAAATGGTTCCATGGAGTCGATGACAACATGGGAAACGAAACTATTGAACACCTTGAAGAAGAACTTCCCATAGCAGCACATAATGCAGGCAATTAAGTGAGGAGAGAACGAAGTGGCAGCGATAGACCTGGTGAGCACCCAGAGTTAAGTGGATATTGGGAGAATAATTTTGAGAGGCAGCATGGGGCCAGAGGCTGTTGAAATACAGCCTACTACATGATAGAGAGGAGGAGGAGGAAGGCAGGATGATGAGAGGCTGCCTCTGTAACTGTCAGTGGGAGAGCGGGCTACAGGCAACGACAACAAATTAATTGCTGTTCATAGTTTATATATATAAACTATTTATATTATATATATATATATATATATATATATATATATATATATATATATATATATATATATATATATATATATATAAATATATATATATACCACGGTTTAAATTACTGACCATATAATGGAAATGACTTACCACTCACACAGGAGGTAGAAGAGATGAAGAAGTTCTTGCTTCAACAGACAGCAGCAACAGAATCAAGAAAGCTTTGGAAAATACAGGCAGCTAAGTACCTAGAAACACATAGGAACTAATGAGAGGCTGTGAGTACTCTGGGTCACAGGGAAAGACAACAGGCAATTGGAAAATGCCATAACGGATAGTCAATGTTCAGACACGCCTTCTGCACAGCTACATAAGGAAAAATTGCAGTTTAGAACCGAGTTAGTGTGCAAAATAGATGAAATTTTTCTCACAGAAAATGGTGGGGATGGATTGCGAAGAATTTAAGAGTGAGATTCCTGGACATTAAGATCGTGGCAGAACAGATGGCTGGTACAGTTAATGTTGGAAGGTTGAAAACCATGTGAATGGTGCAGTCTTGACAGAGAAGGCGGTAAGGGAACAGCTTTAAGAATCACATGATGTGTAAACACATCAGTTGGAGACGACCATATATCAACTAGGATATTGCGACTGCTAAGATTTCATTACCCATCCATCTGAGGCGTATGAAGCAACATTAATTAATGTGGATCTCCTGGCAGTCTGGAATGACTGATATAGAAGGTAATCGTAAAGATACTTTTGGAAAATATGCTGAGTGGTACCTTTGTAACTGTTATACAGCACTGGTTAAGCGAGAGAGAGAACATGCTTGACGGATTTAATTTAGTTTTTAAATGTCAGGAAGACACATTTTGAAAGAGAAAGATAGAAGATTTTCATCGTTCAAGATTGCAAAAACATCTATGATATTCTTCTTCACAAGATAAGATAAGCTCTCCACGAGAGCCTCCTGGCGTTGTGGAGGCTCTACAGGACCCCCGCCGAAGCCCCTCGTCCCACTACTGGGGTGGGGGAGGGGGACAGGTAGAGCCCCAACAACGACAGGAGACTGGTGTAGAGCCTCTCCCATATATGTAGACTTTCTCATTATTATTTGGACAACTATACATACTCAACATTGGGATGGGATCAAATTAGGACTTGATCCGCTTTGACTTATAAAGTATATCAAATTTATTTGCTAGTGCAACTTGTTGCAAACCAATTTAAAAAGTAAAAAAGTATTGTGTGACGTCACGTCGTCAGCCTACACACCCACTACGTCAAATTATCATGCGTTATATCGTCAATATTTTAAAAGATCAATATACTCATTAGCACAAAGGTAGAGCAACGTGTTCACTAATCAATACATTTTCATTTTTATTCACTACGTTATTCTACCTTCCTTTCGATGACAGAATGAATTATGTAACCGGTGTGTGGTGTTTCGACCAATGAGACTCGTCGTTATAAAGCTCCTAGGCATTCATGCTCTAACCAACTACTACTACAACAACAAATGCGGCGTTGATATTTTGCATGGTCCAAGGAGCTGACGCGTAGAGGAATACTTTTCCTCGACTATACCTCACATTGTAATGTATAAATCCCCTCAGGCTAAGAAGCTATGTACCGAAAATCATTGCGGCTCAGAAAATTGACGAAATGCCCCATTTTCTATTTGTGGGTTCTTGGTAAGGTTAGGTTTGGGGAATTTAGTACATCAGTTTAGTGACGTTGGGAACACTTGAGAGGACGGGCTACTTAACGTAACGTAAAGCTCTCCGTGTATTAATAAGTTTGTGGAATAAACCTATTTTGTTCCTAATGAAAGTGATTTGCTGTCAGCCCTTCCCAGAGTACAACCACTTGGGCTGGGCGGTAGACCGACGGACTCGCTTCATGCAGGTCGCCGTTCAATCCCCGACCGTCCAAGTGGTTGAGCACCATTCATTTCCCCCGTCCCATCCCAAATTCTTATCCTGACCCCTTCCAAGTGCTATATAGTCGAAATAGCTTGGTGCTTTTCCCTGATAAATCCCTCCCTCTCTCCTTCCCTAAGTACAGCCACTGAATTCTTTTGCTGCTTAAGTAATTGGGTTCTGGGTATTGAGGCCCCACAGCCTTTCATCCTCAATACTAAATTGGGTGCGGGACCCTAGAGTGTCTTCAGCTGTAAAGTGCGTTCACTAATTAGTGCAAAGCTTCGACCCAAGTGTATAATGGGAGATTAATGTGGTGCGACGCGCTGCGTCTGTGATACAGCCAACGTCTGTGAAACAGCCAACGTCTGTGAAACAGCCAACGTCTGAGATACAGCCAACGTCTGTGATACAGCCTGCGTCTGTGATACAGCCAAAGTCTGTGATACAGTTAACGTCTGTGATACAGCCTACGTCTGTGATACAGCCAACGTCTGTGATACAGCCTACGTCTGTGATACAGCCTACGTCTGTGATACAGCCAACGTCTGTGATACAGCCAACGTCTGTGATACAGCCAACGTCTGTGATACAGCCAACGTCTGTGATACAGCCAACGTCTGTGATGCAGCCAATGTCTGTGATACAGCCAACGTCTGTGATACAGCCAACGTCTGTGATACAGCCAACGTCTGTGATACAGCCAATGTCTGTGATACAGCCAACGTCTGTGATACAGCCAATGTCTGTGATACAGCCAACGTCTGTAATACAGCCAATGTCTGTGATACAGCCTGCGTCTGTGATACAGCCAGCGTCTGTGATACAGCCAACGTCTGTGATACAGCCAACGTCTGTGATACAGCCAATGTCTGTGATACAGCCAACGTCTGTGATACAGCCAACGTCTGTGATACAGCCAACGTCTGTGATACAGCCAACGTCTGTGATACAGCCAACGTCTGTGATACAGCCAACGTCTGTGATACAGCCAACGTCTGTGATACAGCCAACGTCTGTGATGCAGCCAATGTCTGTGATACAGCCAACGTCTGTGATACAGCCAACGTCTGTGATACAGCCAATGTCTGTGATACAGCCAACGTCTGTGATACAGCCTGCGTCTGTGATACAGCCTGCGTCTGTGATACAGCCAACGTCTGTGATACAGCCAACGTCTGTGATACAGCCAACGTCTGTGATACAGCCAACGTCTGTGGCTGCTCCCGCATATTATTTACTGTCAACTGATAGCTTGTATATTGACAACATTGAGATTTGTGCAGGTTGTATGCAGTTGCAGTCATTGCAGAAATGAAATACCTTTTCACAGAGGGAAACCAAGATCGTGAACAATCAACACAAGGATGCATAGTGACCACCAAGACCATGAACAATCAACACAAGGATGCATAGTGACCACCAAGACCATGAACAACGTCGTTGAGCCATTACCTTACTGCAGGTTGACAGTGCCGTCAAAGGGTAATCTGGCACCGTCAATGGCCGACTGTGAAGTGGTTGTTATTCTTAATGGTCCAAAGACAGACCTAATTAAGCCTATATATATCACCGGAGTTACGAGTAAACGTCTGCATCCGAATTCTCCAATTATTCTCCGGCTTTAGTGATTCAGTAACTGAATTAATGGGTGTAAATGGACTGGGAATAATAATTAGTCATATTAAACAATCGTGATTTGCGTCGAGTCTCTAAGCACTTCCCTAACTACTGCCACATTATTACCGAAAATGTGATGAACTGATACAAATTACTGGCAATGTTAGCAACGACAACAAGATTAGCACTCAACCACCCGGTTACTGACATAATAACTTAGGTTGTTGTTATTTATGATTCGCTACTTGGAACAAAAAGTTCCAAGCAGCACGAGCTATGGTGAGCCCGTAGGAGAGAGTAACTTGGGTGTCGTACACACAGCAGCCTCCCGGCACCTGACAAGGGACACCTATCTTGTGGATATCTTGAGAAGATTTCGGGGCTTATCGTCCCCGCGGTCCTGTCCTCGACCAGGTCTCCTTTTACATCCCCTTTTGTTACACATCCCCAGGAAGCAGCCTATATAGCAGCAGTCTAACTCCCAGGTACCTATTTACTGCTAGGTGAACAGCGGCATCAAGGTGAAAGAAACTCTGCCTCTTTATTTCCGGCTCCGCCTGAGATCGAACCCGGACTACGAATCCCGAGCGCTGTCCACTCAGCCGTCAGGACGCAGTACCGATACATATCACTGGGTCCTGGGAAGCAAAACAAAGAGAATGCTTGATTATTATTATTAACATCTTTATTGACAAAAATTAATTACAATTTTGACTAATCTAATTCAGTTAGGTTTTATTAGAGTGGGGATGATGCTGGTATTCACTGTCACACGGAGCAGAGGATCATACACAAGACAATAGGTCTAAATTGTAGGCGGAAGCATCGGGCTTGACGGCGGAGTGGAGAACGCTAGGGGTTCATAGTCTTAAGGATCCTAAGGATCCGGGTTCGATCCCCAGTGGAAGGCGGAAACAAATGCGCATAGTTTCTTTCACACTGATGTCCTGTACACCTAGCAGAAAATAGGAACCAGGGAGTTAGACTGCTGCTACAGGCTACTTTCTGTGTGTGTGTGTGTGTGTGTGTGTGTGTGTATGTGTGTGTGTGTGTGTGTGTGTGTGTGTGTGTGTGTGTGTGTGTGTGTGTGTGTGTGTGTGTGTGTGTGTGTGTGTGTGTGTGTGTGTGTGTGTGTGAAAATTAGGATTAGGACTTGCCCGAACGCTATGCGTGCTAGTGCTTGTTCAAGAACGTAAGAACTATTGTACATACATACATTTTATATATATATATATATATATATATATATATATATATATATATATATATATATATATATATATATATATATATATATATATATATATATATATATATATATATATATATATATATATATATATATATATTATATATTATATATTATATATATGCGAACAAGCCTGGATGGTCCCCAGGACTATATGCAACTGAAAACTATATGCAACATTTGTGTTCCTCACGTGTGCCCCAAAGAATGAGGTGATTTGATAAAATACTATGCCCAAGATTACCATCAGAGTGCCGACTGGGGAGGTGGTTCAAATAGCTTCGGCTATCGTTATTGTCCGGTCGTGATGGTCGAGTAGATTAAGGTGTCCTGTACATACCAGTTGCGTTGCTCCTGGCAGTATGGGTTCGAGTCACTTCTGGGGTGTGAGTTTTCAGTTATATTATATATATATATATATATATATATATATATATATATATATATATATATATATATATATATATATATATATATATATATATATATATATATATATATATATATATATAACTGAAAACTCACACCCCAGAAGTGACTCGAACCCATACTCCCACAACTGGTATGTACAGGGACGCCTTAATCCGCTTGACCATCACGGCCGTCAAAAGGAAGTGATAGCCGAGGCTATTTGAGCCACTTCCCCGACGGCAACTCGGATGGTAATCTTGGGCATAGCATTTCACCAAATCACCTCATTCTTTGGGGCACACGTGAGGAACACAAATGCGAACAAGCCTGAATGGTCCCCAGGACTATATGCGAATGAAAACTCACACCCCAGAAGTGACTCGAACCCATACTCCCAGAAGCAACGCAACTGGTAACTACAGGGCGCCTTAATCCGCTTGACCATCACGGCTGTCAAAAGGAAGTGATAGCCGAGGCTATTTGAGCCACTTCCCCGACGGCAACTCGGATGGTAATCTTGGGCATAGCATTTCACCAAATCACCTCATTCTTTGGGGCACACGTGAGGAACACAAATGCGAACAAGCCTGAATGGTCCCCAGGACTATATGCGAATGAAAACTCACACCCCAGAAGTGACTCGAACCCATACTCCCAGAAGCAACGCAACTGGTAACTACAGGGCGCCTTAATCCGCTTGACCATCACGGCCGTCAAAAGGAAGTGATAGCCGAGGCTATTTGAGCCACTTCCCCGACGGCAACTCTGGGGTGTGAGTTTTCATTCGCATATAGTCCTGGGGACCATTCAGGCTTGTTCGCATTTGTGTTCCTCACGTGTGCCCCAAAGAATGAGGTGATTTGGTGAAATGCTATGCCCAAGATTACCATCCGAGTTGCCGTCGGGGAAGTGGCTCAAATAGCCTCGGCTATCACTTCCTTTTGACGGCCGTGATGGTCAAGCGGATTAAGGCGCCCTGTAGTTACCAGTTGCGTTGCTTCTGGGAGTATGGGTTCGAGTCACTTCTGGGGTGTGAGTTTTCATTCGCATATAGTCCTGGGGACCATTCAAGCTTGTTCGCATTTGTGTTCCTCACGTGTGCCCCAAAGAATGAGGTGATTTGGTGAAATGCTATGCCCAAGATTACCATCCGAGTTGCCGTCGGGGAAGTGGCTCAAATAGCCTCGGCTATCACTTCCTTTTGACGGCCGTGATGGTCAAGCGGATTAAGACGCCCTGTAGTTACCAGTTGCGTTGCTTCTGGGAGTATGGGTTCGAGTCACTTCTGGGGTGTGAGTTTTCATTCGCATATAGTCCTGGGGACCATTCAGGCTTGTTCGCATTTGTGTTCCTCACGTGTGCCCCAAAGAATGAGGTGATTTGGTGAAATGCTATGCCCAAGATTACCATCCGAGTTGCCGTCGGGGAAGTGGCTCAAATAGCCTCGGCTATCACTTCCTTTTGACGGCCGTGATGGTCAAGCGGATTAAGGCGCCCTGTAGTTACCAGTTGCGTTGCTTCTGGGAGTATGGGTTCGAGTCACTTCTGGGGTGTGAGTTTTCATTCGCATATAGTCCTGGGGACCATTCAGGCTTGTTCGCATTTGTGTTCCTCACGTGTGCCCCAAAGAATGAGGTGATTTGGTGAAGTGCTATGCCCAAGATTACCATCCGAGTTGCCGTCGGGGAAGTGGCTCAAATAGCCTCGGCTATCACTTCCTTTTGACGGCCGTGATGGTCAAGCGGATTAAGGCGCCCTGTAGTTACCAGTTGCGTTGCTTCTGGGAGTATGGGTTCGAGTCACTTCTGGGGTGTGAGTTTTCATTCGCATATAGTCCTGGGGACCATTCAGGCTTGTTCGCATTTGTGTTCCTCACGTGTGCCCCAAAGAATGAGGTGATTTGGTGAAATGCTATGCCCAAGATTACCATCCGAGTTGCCGTCGGGGAAGTGGCTCAAATAGCCTCGGCTATCACTTCCTTTTGACGGCCGTGATGGTCAAGCGGATTAAGGCGCCCTGTAGTTACCAGTTGCGTTGCTTCTGGGTGTATGGGTTCGAGTCACTTCTGGGGTGTGAGTTTTCATTCGCATATAGTCCTGGGGACCATTCAGGCTTGTTCGCATTTGTGTTCCTCACGTGTGCCCCAAAGAATGAGGTGATTTGGTGAAATGCTATGCCCAAGATTACCATCCGAGTTGCCGTCGGGGAAGTGGCTCAAATAGCCTCGGCTATCACTTCCTTTTGACGGCCGTGATGGTCAAGCGGATTAAGGCGCCCTGTAGTTACCAGTTGCGTTGCTTCTGGGAGTATGGGTTCGAGTCACTTCTGGGGTGTGAGTTTTCATTCATATATATATATATATATATATATATATATATATATATATATATATATATATATATATATATATATATATATATATATATATATATATATATATCTTTAGACTTTCAGTCTTTCAGGTAGCAGTCTTTCTTGTAAACATATGTTGCTAAATATGACCGAAAAAGTAAGATTAATAATTCTAACACGAATTTTCTCAATATTTCTTATGTTTTTTTACTGTCGATGGTCATTGAAAAATCAGTTCTCCAAAATTCATTTGTATTTGTAGTCTGACGCGACACTTGAACGCGTTTCGTAATAACTTACTACATTTTCAAAGACTTTAGTTTACACACACACCTATAACCTGCAAACACTAAACAGAGTTTTACTATGCGAACATTTAAACAGCTTTTGTCTTATATACTCGCATTTGGGTGAGGTGATATGTTACAACAGTTTTGGATGAGGTGAACAAAACTTTCAACACAAGACAGAACACGGTGCAATAGGGTATCAATTGGATAAGTGAACGGGAAGAATGGAAGTAACTGCAAAGGGCCTATTGGCCCATATTTCCTCTTGATGCTTCTATATTGGTACGGATTCTTGAAGTGGGTAGAATATAGTTGTGCATTAATTGGCTGTTGATTGCTGGTGTTGACTTCTTGATGTGTAGTGCCTCGCAGATGTCAAGCCGCCTGCTATCGCTGTATCTATCGATGATTTCTGTGTTGTTTGTTAAGACTTCTCTGGTGATGGTCTGATTGTGGGAAGAGATTATATGTTCCTTAATGGAGCCCTGTTGCTTATGCATTGTTAATCGCCTGGAAAGAGATGTTGTTGTCTTGCCTATATACTGAGTTCTTTGGGGCTTACAGTCCCCAAGTGGGCATTTGAATGCATAGACGACGTTGGTCTCTTTTAAAGCGTTCTGCTTTGTGTCTGGAGAGTTTTTCATGAGTAAGTGGGCCGTTTTTTTGGTTTTATAGTAAATTGTCAATTGTATCTTCAGATTTTTGTCTGTAGTGATAACGTTCCTATTAACAATATCTTTCAGGACCCTTTCCTCCGTTTTATGAGCTGTGGAAAAGAAGTTTCTGTAAAATAGTCTAATAGGGGGTACAGGTGTTGTGTTAGTTGTCTCTTCAGAGGTTGCATGGCATTTCACCTTCATTTTTATGATGTCTTCAACGAAACCATTGGAGAAGCCGTTGTTGACTAGGACCTGCCTTACCCTACAGAGTTCTTTATCGACTTGCTTCCATCCTGAGCTGTGGCTGAGAGCACGGTCGACATAAGCATTAACAACACTCCTCTTGTACCTGTCTGGATAGTCACTGTTGGCATTGAGGCACATTCCTATGTTTGTTTCCTTAGTGTAGACTGCAGTGTGGAAACCTCCGTTCCTTTCCATGACTGTTACATCTAGAAAGGGCAGCTTCCCATCCTTCTCCATCTCGTAAGTGAAACGCAACAAAGAATTCCGCTCGAATGCCTCCTTCAGCTCCTGCAGATGTCTGACATCAGGTACCTGTGTAAAAATGTCGTCAACATACCTGCAGTATATGGCAGGTTTCAAGTTCATGTCAACTAAGACCTTCTGTTCGATGGTACCCATGTAGAGGTTTGCAAACAGGACACCTAGGGGAGAACCCATGGCGACCCCATCTACTTGCTTATACATGTGCCCATCCAGGCTCAAGAAGGGTACTTCTTTAGTACAAGCTTGGAGTAGTTTCCTTAGAATGTTTTCTGGTATGTCATGAGGAGTACAGGCCGGATCACGATACACTCTGTCCGCTATCATCCCGATTGTTTCATCCACAGGTACGTTGGTAAACAGTGATTCTACGCCCAACGAGGCTCTTATCCCTGTGGCCCGTGTTCCCCGCAGTAAGTCAACAAATTCCTTTGGAGACTTCAGGCTGAAAGCACAAGGTACATAAGGAGTCAGTAAGCCGTTGAGTCGCTTCGCCAGTCTGTACGTGGGTGTGGGTATCTGGCTGATGATTGACCGAAGTAGGTTTCCAGACTTGTGTGTCTTGACATTTCCACTTCGGCCAATCATCAGCCAGATACCCACACCCACGTACAGACTGGCGAAGCGACTCAACGACTTGCTGACTCCTGCAGGTTAGCCTGTCAGTGCTGACCCGCAGCCTGTCAGTGCTGACTCGCAGCCTGTCAGTGCTGACCCGCAGCCTGTCAGTGCTGACTCGCAGCCTGTCAGTGCTGACCCGCAGCCTGTCAGTGCTGACCCGCAGCCTGTCAGTGCTGACTCGCAGCCTGTCAGTGCTGACCCGCAGCCTGTCAGTGCTGACCCGCAGCCTGTCAGTGTTGACCTGTCAGCTTGACGCTAACAAGGATGAGGAAGGTGAGGGGGTGGAGCAGGCGCCCCTACCTAGGTGAGGTCCTATCTCACCTTTATCCTCACAATAGAGGAGAGGCGCTGCTGTGTTCTGCTGCTCGCTAATGACGCCCTTGTACTCGCCAAGAAAAATTACAAACATCAAATGGCCATTACACTCCCCCTCTCCCTATCGTCTTCCCCATTCTCCCCACCCTCTCCCTCCTGCGCCCCCCCCCCCACTCACACACACACACTTTACTTTCCTTAATTAATACTAACTATGAGAACTACACCACACACCAGACGATGAGGAGACGACGACGTTTCGGTTCGTCCTGGACAGGAACGTCGAAATATCGACGTTTTACCATAATTCGAATTATCGAATTATCATAATTCTAATTATGATAATTGGTTGTGGCGGGAGACAGACAGCCAGGATATATATACTCATATTGGGGTTATATCAATGTCGAACTGATGCCACCTCTTAGGATGCAACCCCTGCCACACGCTGACCAACTCCTGGGTACCTATTTACCACTAGGTGAAGAGGTGCATCAGGTGATAGTAAACGCGTCCCAACCATTTTTGTCCCGCCTGGGATTCGAACCCTGAATTCCCGATTGCGAGTCGAGAATGAAAGCAATTGTACTATTGGTACTTTGGAAATATTGTAGCGCATACATTCTACATCTTCCAATGGTCTGTATAGAATACATATACTCCAGACCACCCTGCCCCCATACAGTGGCAACATACATACATACAGTTGCAACATATATACAGTTGTATCATACATACAGTTTAAGCCGATACCCGGAAAAAAGTTACACTGAATATTTACCAAAAACAAACTATCTGGCATGTGTTAAACGCAGAGCGACGCCACGGTCTCCCCTGGACGTGACGATGCTTGCCGCCCGTGTCTGCCTCCCCTCACACACCCTCACGGCTGTCACGGTGCTTGCCGCCCGTGTCTGCCTCCCCTCACACACCCTCACGGCTGTCACGGTGCTTGCCGCCCGTGTCTGCCTCCCCTCACACACCCTCACGGCTGTCACGGTGCTTGCCGCCCGTGTCTGCCTCCCCTCACACACCCTCACGGCTGTCACGGTGCTTGCCGCCCGTGTCTGCCTCCCCTCACACACCCTCACGGCTGTCACGGTGCTTGCCGCCCGTGTCTGCCTCCCCTCACACACCCTCACGGCTGTCACGGTGCTTGCCGCCCGTGTCTGCCTCCCCTCACACACCCTCACGGCTGTCACGGTGCTTGCCGCCCGTGTCTGCCTCCCCTCACACACCCTCACGGCTGTCACGGTGCTTGCCGCCCGTGTCTGCCTCCCCTCACACACCCTCACGGCATATCCGTGTCCAACTCTGAATGGAAGTTGGCAAGCTCTTGGTGCTCGCGAGCATCTGGCTCTTGGTGCTCGCTCAATATAATTATTAGTGCTCACTTAATATAGTTCTTGGTGCTCACTCAATATAGTTCTTGGTGCTCACTTAATATAGTTCTTGGTGCTCACTTAATATAGTTCTTGGTGCTCACTCAATATAGTTCTTGATGCTCACTCAATATAGTTCTTGATGCTCACTCAATATAGTTCTTGGTGCTCACTCAATATAGTTCTTGGTGCTCACTCAATATAGTTCTTGGTGCTCACTCAATATAGTTCTTGGTGCTAACTCAATATAGTTCTTGGTGCTCACTCAATATAGTTCTTGGTGCTCACTCAATATAGTTCTTGGTGCTCACTCAATATAGTTCTTGGTGCTCACTCAATATAGTTCTTGGTGCTCACTCAATATAGTTCTTGGTGCTCACTCAATATAGTTCTTGATGCTCACTCAATATAGTTCTTGATGCTCACTCAATATAGTTCTTGATGCTCACTCAATATAGTTCTTGGTGCTCACTCAATATAGTTCTTGGTGCTCACTCAATATAGTTCTTGATGCTCACTCAATATAGTTCTTGGTGCTCACTCAATATAGTTCTTGGTGCTCACTCAATATAGTTCTTGATGCTAACTCAATATAGTTCGAGTAGAGCGAGCAGGTGTGACGCTCGGCGGTCCCTAGTTTCGGAGATAGTTAATCCTCTTGAGGAACGAATTACTGAGTAGTTCTCGAGAGACAAAAAGTAGAAGTTTCCGGGCGACTTCCAAGGAAGTTTAGAGGACCTGGTCAGTGAAAGAGGTTCACTAGAGGCTCAACGACAGTGTGTTTGTCAGGAGAGGCGGTGCTGGGGGGTTGAGGTGCAACCCGCGGGCCGTTCCGGAGCTCGGGTGGCGGGGTCCTGGTCCATTGTAACAATGTCAACCACTCCTGGGGAGAACCAGTTGTACTACATGTCTACGGTAGAAGAGAAGTAGACCAGTAGCCCAGTGTGAGGACACCAGGGAGGACAGGCAACATTTGCTGCCTCCCAGCTGACCAGGAGAGGAACTCAGTGGTAGGGTGCAGCCTACCTGTTGGGAGACCAACCGTGGCACATCAGAGTGAGGAACAAACGGTGAGGAGACCTACTTCAGCATCGTGGGGTCCTGCAGGAAGCTACACTTCGCCACTACCTTCTGCAGAGACTACAGCTTCCTGAAACAATTATTACGGTAGATAAATTTGCTGTTAGGAAATGTGTATTAAATGTTAAGTGTACGAGGAGAAATATAATGTAAGGAGAAAGGCCCTGTGTTTGTGAGGCCGGTCAGAGCGAGATTTTTCGTTGTTTATTTAAGACAGAGTCTGGTTTATCTATTCTTTATTCATGTGGAGTCAAAATGCACTTTTATAAATTAGGTGAAGTTTTAAGAGGTCTAATGTTCTAGAAACGGTTAGAGAGAAAAGATAGCCTCGCTGTTAATACTCTACAGATTATTGGAGTGTTGCCATATTATTGCTGACTTTCGCGGAGTGTTGCCATCTGTAAAATAAGTGAGATATTTTTAAACAGTTACTGTGTAGCCTTAATTCTAGTAAACTGTAAACAAAATTAAATATGGTGCATACTTCCTCTCTTTCATTTCTCTGAATGAGCCTTGTCTGAGGTTTACTGGACACCAAACAATATTGGATAAGTGTCGAACTGGACGATTATATACCACTACGAGAAAAAATAATCTGGCCTCAGGCGAGTGCAGGTCAGATTGGCGACCATAAAACTTATTCTTGTGTGGCGGGCAAGCTAGCTGCGTGAAGCCTAAGTCTTGGTGTCTGCTGGCACTCAAGCGGGAAGACACTGGAGTGGTCGGTCACGACCACCGAAGACTGACACTGTCTGGCATATAATATACCGTCACGAACTATGTCTGACACTGTCTGACATGTAATATAAAACAAGGTAATACGTAAGCTAATTTAGGGCTTTTGACTCCTAAGTCATGATATATTACAGTATTAATGTAATGAACCTCTTTATAACTAATCAGATTTACTATTTCATTATTATTATAATAAAAGAATCAATATAAAATTTCGTTGTTGAGTGTGACTGGTTGTTGAGTGTGTCTGGTTGTTGAGTGTGTCTGGTTGTTGAGTGTGAGTGGTTGTTGAGTGTGACTGGTTGTTGAGTGTGTCTGGTTGTTGAGTGTGACTGGTTGTTGAGTGTGTCTGGTTGTTGAGTGTGACTGGTTGTTGAGTGTGACTGGTTGTTGAGTGTGACTGGTTGTTGAGTGTGACTGGTTGTTGAGTGTGACTGGTTGTTGAGTGTGACTGGTTGTTGAGTGTGACTGGTTGTTGAGTGTGACTGGTTGTTGAGTGTGACTGGTTGTTGAGTGTGACTGGTTGTTGAGTGTGACTGGTTGTTGAGTGTGACTGGTTGTTGAGTGTGACTGGTTGTTGAGTGTGACTGGTTGTTGAGTGTGACTGGTTGTTGAGTGTGACTGGTTGTTGAGTGTGACTGGTTGTTGAGTGTGACTGGTTGTTGAGTGTGACTGGTTGGCCTTTCTGTTACTTGCTATTTTGGCCCAGTTGGGGCTGGACTCGTGATCCATTTATTCGACCAATTACGAAATCTGTACATCATTCCTCAATAATGTTTACATATATTAATTATTCTTTTGATGTCGGAAGCACCGCGAGATTGTTTATAACAAAAATAAACTTAAGTTGTGAAGTTTCCAAGATTGTAAATTGTTTATTAAATAAAAGTAAAGTGGCATGATGGGGGAAAGATGTACAGGTTCCGCAAGTTAATGCGTAAATCCTTGATAAATCCTGACCCCTGGTTGACACGATGACAGTGCTACACTCATATCACCTTCATTAATTGTTAAATATGATTCTGTTTAGGTTTTTAACCTTGTCAGGGTGAATAATCCAACTTTATTTGTAACTGGTCATAAAAGCAAGCAAAAACACCATTCAAATTAAGATTCGATATCCGTATTAAACACTGATTCAAAATGCTGACAAAGTTGATGATTTTTACTTCGTTCTTAATGTATTGTTACAAATGAGATGAATCAGCTTATTTTTATTTGTGAAAAATATTAGTTTTAATCCTATGACAAATTCTGGAGGCTCAAAAACAAATGTCCATTTCAGCAAATGCTAATCATTCTTTCTTCCATCTTCTCTAAAATTAAAAAAATAATGATGAATAGTGGCAGACAAAGCAGAGAAAGATAACTTGCATTTTGTTCACACCTTCTTCAGAGATGCTGCTTTCTTTAATGTGTTGTGACAGAGTTAGGAAGACATAATAGTTCGGGTGGTCACCCTGGTGTGGCTCGACACAGAAGAGAGGATTTTTGTAATGTTTTGGCATTTTCAACGTTGAAGCAAATAATGTTCTTTAAGTTTTAAGTTAAGTTCGTATAGATATGAAAAAATATGATCTGCTAAATCAAATTTTTGTTGCAAGAAAATAAAGAATTATTTGGAATTCTTGGCTGAACTCTTGTAATGACAGTGCCATGGAGGCCAGGGACCTTAGGGGCTGATGAGCTCTTATAATGACTGTCCCGTGGAGGCCAGGGACCCTAGGGGCTGATGAGCTCT